AATTCATCTTAACTGACTTTCTCCATTGCCATTGAAATTTCACCAACAGTGCAGCGAGCGCGAGATGCTTCAACAGCCAAACCAAGCAAATTTCCTTGCCCAGTTCTTGCACTTTCTTCGAGAGCTTTCAAAGCTGCTTCCGCACGATTCTTGTCACGGCTTTTCTTAATCTACGGAAAACAAGAACCCAAGATTGATTACAGAATTTCGCATCGAAAATCATATTACATACTTGTTCAAGCTTTTCGATTTGTGACGCTCGCACTTTGGTGTTATCGATGACAAGAACTTCAACTGGGTCTTCCTTCTCCAAACGGTACTTGTTCACACCCACAATTACTTCTGTAAAAATTGAGAAGCGAATTTCATTCGGAGAACAACGACTTGTGGAATCCCACCTTTTCCGGAATCAATAATAGTTTTGCGACGTGCAGCACATTCTTCAATCTTCATTCCACCATTCTTGATTTCTTGGGTGAGGGATTCCATCGCATATGAACCAGCCCACGGATCGATGATCTAACTAAAAAAAATTTTGAAAATATTGCAGTACTGACAATTATACGGTAACAAGCTCATACAGGTTTTACGAAATAAGTGCGAATATCTCTTCTGACTGGAGCATTTCACGAAAAAAATCTATTTGAGAATGACGAAGTTTTTACAGTGAAGGAACAGTTTCTCCAGCAATAAAATATTGTTCATAAAAAAATTTACAGTATCAACGAAAAAAATTTAAAAAGTTGTTCAGTCAACCAAGCAATATAAGTCAAGTTTATTAAGTTCAACATATATATTTTGTTGAGACAGCATCGATTGCAGCAAAAAGTGTGATATTAGTTAAAACGAAATCCTATGACCAGCAACAATCTCGCCAACAGATGAAATAAAATCGATTTTACACAAACTATATGCAATCGTTTTCCCAGTCGATTTTTTTTTCAGCATAAACGAACCTTCGGGATACCCGTCTCTTCTTGAAGGATGATTTGAGTGTTTCTGGCAATGCGAGCAGAAAACTTGGAAGGCAGAGCCAGTGCTTCATCAAATGCATTCGTATGAAGAGATTGGGTTTCACCAAAAACAGCGGCCATGGCCTCAATTGTAGTTCGAATGATGTTGTTGTAAGGGTCCTTGGGATTGTGAATACCGATTCAGTATTATAAAAGTTCACATTGCTCCAACCTTTTTTACAGTTAAATTACCTGCTCAATCAGTGACCACGCAGAAGTCTGACTGTGCGTACGTAGCATTGTAGACTTGGGATTCTTGGGACTGAAGTACTTCTGAATTGTGTGCCCACAAGCGTCTGGCAGCTCGCATCTTGGCGATTTCCATATAAAAGTTCATGCCAACACCCCAGAAGAACGACAGACGTGGGGCAAACTGGTCAATTGGTAAGCCTGATTTAACTCCAGTTTTAC